CCCCACCCGCCCCATGCTCTCTGGCACCAGCTTCCCTCTTCTCAGCAGACATGTGTCTTCTGGCCTCTGCCTTTAGGCACACTCAGGATCTCTAGCAATAAAGACACCTGGACACTTGGTGGCCCCCCGCCCTGGCCCAGATGGGCAAACTGAGGCATGAGGAAGTTATTTAATAGCTGTAATCAGAGCTGGAATTTAAACCCAGGCAATCTGCTTGGGAGCATGCGCCCTTAACCACTATGCCATCCTGCCTCTCAATATTGTTAACTTTTTTCTAATTAAAATAAAACATACAAAAAGAAAAGTGCACAGATCTAAGTGTACAGCCTGGTGGATTGCCACACACAACATACATGTGTAACCTGCACCCAGATCAAGAAATAAAACATTCCACCTGCCAGAGTCCCTGGACCCCCATCCGGTCACTACCTCCAACCCCAGGCAACTGATCCTGACTTATAACAGCATAGATTCATTTCGTTGGGTTTTTAACCTTTCTAAATGTAGGGTGACCAACCGTCCAGGTTTGTCCGAGACTGAGGGGTTTTCTGGGACATGGGCCCTTCAATGCTAAAACTGGGACTGTCCCGGGTAAACCAGACAGGTTGGTCGCCCTCTATAAGTGCAATCATGCACTGTGTGGTTTCTGTGACCATCCTGTTTATGAAATCTATGTTGTTGTGCGCAGGTGGTGTTTATCATTGTGTTGTTGTATGTGTCTCCACTGTGTGGGTACACCACGTTTGTCCATTCTATTGTTGATGGCCATCTGAGTTGCCTCCAGTTTGGAGCCAGTATGGAAAGTGCTGCTATGGGCATCCCGATTCAGGTCTATGGGTGGACGAATGGACGCCTGGTCACTCAATTTTAAGAAATGGTGACATTTTGGACTTTTGCTTGAGTTGAGAAATACTACTGCCTGCTGGGGTGCCCTGTGACCCCAAAGGACCCAGAGTCTCACATCTTTTTCTCTATCGCTGGCAGGGTGGCTCCTATGGCCGGAAAACGGTCTTAAGAGGCAACTCCGATGGTACGCTCGTCATCTTCGTCAGTAACCTTGAAAAATTCCAGGATCAGACGAAAAGCCAACAGGAAATCTTCAAGAAAATCTGGGAGTGTCTGAGAGCCTGTCAGGTCACAGGCCTGGAAGCCAAGGTGCAGATCCAGAGGCCCAACAGTGGGCTCACCATCCATGTGTCCTCAGGATGCCAAAGCATCACTTTTGAGGTGCTGCCTGCCTTCAATGCGCTGGGTGAGCCCTCCTGGGTGTATGGGGGTGGGTTCAGATCTGGAGGGGTTTGTTGAGAGAGCAAAGCCAAAGAAAGGGGTGGCAGACAGCCATGTGGGTCCTCTAGGCTGGGGATGGGATAGATACCACTGGTGCTTTCCAAAGTGGGGGACCATAGACCTTCAAGAGAGGAAGTCTCTCCTACCTGGGCTTACTCTCTTCTCTAGAACTTTTCTCTCATCTCTTAATTGACTTTGGCGAAAATGTTCTAGATTCTAGACTCTAGAGAAGAGCTTCTCAAACTGTGACATGCCCACAAATCACCAGAGAACCTTATTAAAATGCAAGTTCTGATTCAGGAGATCAGGGGCAGGGCCTGGGATTCTGTATGTCTAACCTGCCGTGATGCTACTGCTGCTCTGTGGACCACACTTGGGGATTTAGACTAGAATAAACATTGGTTAGAGGAAGAGGATGAGGCAAACATCTGGGAAAAGTTCAGCTGGGGCAGGCATTTGGAGTCTGCCTTCTGACCAGGTCAACATCAAGGCAAGGACCATCCATGGGCAACTGGTTGGATGAATGGATGGATGCGATTGTTGGATGAATGGATGGATAGTTGGATGGATGGATGGATGGATGGATGGATGGATGGATGGATGGATGGATGGATGGATGTTTGGTTGGATGGATGGACAGATGAACAGAGAGATCATTGGATGGATGGTTGATTGGATGGATGGATGGATGGATGGATGGATGGATGGATGGATAGTTGATTGGATGGATGGACAGATAAGACTCAGCATACAGCTCAGTCTCAAGCCCAGGTCCATATATAGTCACAAACTTAAATGCTAGGGCTGAAATTTAACCTCTCATTAAACAAATGGGGAAACTGAAGGAAAGGAATATTCCCAGGGCCACTGAGCCAGTTACTGACACAACTAGAATAAAACCCCAGTTCTTCTAAGCCCCAGGCTAGGGGTTCCTTTAAGGTGGTGACACACACACACCTTGATGACTCATATTCACAGAAAAGTGACCCAGTTCAGAGAAAAATGCACCAGTTTTGAAGGTAGGCAGCCCCGAGTTCTTACCCTGGTCCCACTACTTACCCACTTTTGCCAACTGTAAGATTAGACTAGAAACAGCTAGCTTGCAGGGCCTTTAACATGATAAGGTTTAGAGTAGGTGCCTGCCTCAAACCAGGGCTGGAGTCAAGGTAAAGAGACAAAATGTGACTCAAAATCTTTAGGAAATCCTCTCCTCTTTTTCAGAGCGGGGCGTTTGGAGACTAGGCCAGAGCGCCCTCTGCTGGGTGGGTTCACCCCCTCATACAAGGATGGTGTGAGCCGGAGAGATAAGCTCCTCCTTACATGTAGTATCCAGAAGCTGCCACCAGATGGTAGTAGAGCTGCACATGCCAAACAAAGATCCCTTTTCTAGAAGGAAACAATAATAGTTGCTTTCTGAGAAAAATAACCTACTGGGGAATTCTTAAATTACTTTCTTTACTAAATAGTAGCCTAACTGGTCTGGCCTGCTCTCCACACCAGGTCCAGGCAGACCTGCTCCAACTCCACATCTCTTTCCACTGCTATGTGCCACCGCTGCTCTCTCCCCAGGGTCTTTGACCCCAAACAGGACTCTTCTATTTACCTGACTTCCTGGTGTGTCAGCTCCCTCATCTGTAGATTAGCAGTTTATTGCAATAACCACCCAAGAGTAGTGGGAGGCTTGTCTATTTCTCTGTACCTGAGGGGTTTGAAAGTGCCTGGCATGGGAGAAGCACCCAACAAACGTTAGCTACATTATTACCCTTATTGAGGGGGACAGGATGCTCTTTCCCTCAACCTCCCTGCATGCCAAGGGCCCAGAACTGTGTCAGGCTAATAGTGGAAGTCAGTGAATGTCTGTCGGGTGAATGAAAAGAACAAGCTGGCTACTGTGTCCTATTGTTTACCTAAATGTGTCTGTGAACAGTGGAGCTCAGCTAGCAAGAATGGGAACCCTTAGATTAAATTCTGTGACCTACTGACATCTCCCCCATTGCGTTTGCTTCCTCACCCCCATACCAGTGGTTCTCAAACTCCCGCGGATAACAGAATCACCTGAGGAACGTAGGGAACAATACGGAGGCCCAAGCTCTCTCCACTTGGGTATCAGATCTCCTGCAGAGAGGATCTGGAACTCAGAGGCCTGGGTTCATGGCTACAGGAGGCTCCTGGGCCTGTGTTCCTGATTACGTGTGCAGGATTCTGACAGGCACCCCAGTTTTGAGAACCACTGTGCTGCGTCACCCCACATCACGGGGTCCAGCTCTGCAGAGCGTGCGCCTGCCCACTGGGCTCCATCCCCAGCCTCCAGGGCCCGGCCTTCCCCTGGCCTCCCTCCTCCAAGTGCCTGTGTCCTGGACTCTGAAATAGAACATTCACTGGATGGGCTCAATAGCAGAACACATTGTATGTGATATATAAACTTTATTTTCTTCCAGGTGTATACCAGCTGTGCCAACACCATTGTTAAAGAAGCCATCCTTGTCCTACTAATTTGGAACACCCCCTTTTTCATTCATAATTGTGTTTCTCATCCCTCCTTTGGGTTCTGCTGGTCTTGTCCTAAGCCAGCACCGTATCGTTTTCATGACGGTCATTTTAGACTACATTTTCTTGTCTAGCAGGGCAAGCCACCCCTGACCTTTCCTGTAAATACACCAGTCCTCGTACAGATGAAGCCATAGGTGTGGGCCATCAACCCCCAACCGACCTTCCCTGAGGTCACTGAGGCCGGGTGACATGGATACCAAAAGTTGTTTCTCTTTCACACCAGGCTTAAGTGAGAATCCCAGCCCCTGGGCCTATCGAGAACTCAAAAGATCCTTGGATATGACAAACGCTCAGCCCGGTGACTTCTCAGTGTGCTTCACGGAGCTCCAGCAGAAGTTTTTTGACAACCGTCCCAGAAAGCTGAAGGATTTGATCCTCTTGGTAAAGCACTGGCATCTGCAGGTAATTTTCCAATTGTATGTCTATTGCTGTCATCCCTTCCTTTACACTGGGATCATTTACATTCAATAGAGTACAACAATCTTAAGGACACAGCTCAGTGCATTTTTGTATCCTCTAAAGCAACACCCAGATCAAAATAGGGCTCATTTCCTGCACCCCAGACACCCCACAGCCTCTGCCCACTCCCGGTCAATACTTCCCCCAAACGAACCATCATCCTCACATCCGCCGCCACAGAGCAGTTTTGCTTGTTTTTAAACTTGATATCGGTGGAATCGTGCTCTATGTACTTTGTGTGTGCCGTCTTTTGCTCAACGTGATGTCTGAGAGATTTGTCCATGTTGCTGCGTGTAGTCGTAGTTTTTCATTGCTTTGTCGTATTCCATTGTATTAATATACCACACGTTTATCCATTCTACTGCTGATGGACATTTGGGTCATTTCCAAATTGGGGCTATTGTGAATTAGGTGACTATTGATATTCCCCCACAAGTCTTTTTGTGAATTTAAGCACTTTCCCCTTTCCCCTTCTCTTGGGTAAAGGTGCAAGAGTGGACCTGCTGGGTTATAAGGTATCTGCATATGTATGTATACGTGAATACATATGCACATGGCATATACATGTATGTATATGTGTGTACATAAGGAATATATACATGGATATATATATTTTTTTTAACTTTAGTAAGTACTGCCAAATAGCTTTCCCAAATGGTTGTACCAAATTACACTGCCGTCAACCACATATGACAGTTTCAGGCACTCCATGTCCTTGCCAACACTCAACATTGTCAGTCCATCAAATTTTAGACGTGGTGTCATTTTAGTCACTGGTGGAGGACAGCGACTTTTTATAGACTCTGGTTTCTTGATTTCAGACCCCTGGCAGGGGAGGATCTGGGTCCCCAAATTAGCCACTACCCTTTTCTTCTCCCACAGTATGTGATAAAGCAGGACAATTTCCCCCTGGCGCCCTCATATGCTTTGGAGCTGCTTACAGTCTACGCCTGGGAACAGGGGTGTGGAGCAGAAGACTTTGATATAGCTGAAGGCATCAGAACAGTTTTGGGGCTAATCATGCAGCAGAAGAAGCTGTGTGTCTATTGGACAATCAACTATAACTTTGAGGATGAGACTGTCCGGAACATTCTGCTGAGCCAGCTCCGATCGCGGAGGTACAAACCTTCCCGTGGCCCTCTCTCTTTACCTCTTCCTCTGCATGCCAGGCTGTACCCCCTTAGAATGAGGACTCAGCCCTGTCCTTTCCTGCCAAGGATACGCCAAAAGAATGCCAGCAGCAGGGGCCAGAATGCCAGGAGCCTGATCAATGCCGCTCACCTTCCAAACTGTTGTCACATTTTGTCGCCAAAACAAACACTAGTTAGGTGCTTCCCCTTATAGAAGGAAGGGGCTAAGAGAGAAGAAGGGGTTGGCGGGAAGAGGAGACACTTGATTATGTTATTAATGGAACATCGCTGTAAAGCAGAGAACCAGCAGGACCAGAGAAGCTAGACATCTTAGACGAAGCACCACAGCAACTGAGAGCACCCACAGGAGTTAAAACCCAGGTTACCAGATGCCCGGTCTAGGCCTCTTTCCCCAAAACGGATTTCTTCTCCCACAGGCAACCCAACTGATTTTTTTTTTTTTAATCTAACGGAATTCATAGGCCAGTAATCTTGGATCCAACCGACCCAACCAATAATGTGAGCAGAGATGATGTGTACTGGCAACAGCTAAAAAAAGAAGCTGAATGCTGGTTGTCTTCTTCCGGCCTGAACGAGCCACCTGGACCATCTTGGAATGTTCTGGTGAGAGGGTTTTCGAAATATAGCTTGTGTCATGCTGCAGGGAGGGTCCCGCTGACATGCAGACTGCCGTCTTATCCAAGATCAGCAGGGGTTTCCTAGGGCTGCTGTGACAAAGTACCACGCACTGGTGGCTTAAAGCAACAGAAATTTATTCTCGCACGGTTCTGGGGGCTGGAAGTCCAAGAGGAAGGTGTTGGCAGGGCCGTGCTCCCCCGAAGGCTCTCGGGAAGAAGCCTTCCCTGCCTCTTCCAGCTTCTGTGGGTGCCAGCAGTCCTTGGCTTGCGGCTGCATCACTCCAGTCTCTGCCTCCAGTGTCAGGGGGACTTCTCCCCGTGTGTCTCCACGTGGGCTTCCCTCGGTGCCTATCTGCCTCTCTCCTCTTCTTGTAACGACACCGGTCATATTGGATTAGGGCCCACCCTAATGACCTCATCTTGATGACATCTTGCAAAGACCCTACTTCCAAATAAGGTCACATTCACAGGTCCTGGAGGTTGAGACTTCAACATATCTTTTAAGGGGACACAATTCAATCCATAACACACCATTAGGGGCCTCCCCTTCTACTAAAATGACAGCAAAGGGCAAAATGGAAGAAAAAGGATGGGGGCACCTGAAGATGAGAGATTTCAATTAATTTCTGTCAGACAAAAAGCCGATGAGAAGGTGATGACATGAAATGGAGCAGAGCCCAAGAGGAAGGGGGTGGCAGTCACTCCTGCAGGTGCCAGGACAGGCTCTGAGCTCTGCCCAGGCAGGTGTGGGGACAAGAGTGAGAAGTGGGCTGGAGACAGGAGAACCAATCAAGGGACCAGCTGTGCACCAGGTGCATCTGACCCCCCATCCCCCATCCCCCAAAGAAGAAGCAAACCTGTCCACGTGGAACCCCCTGCACTCTCAGAGCTGGTTAGAGGAGGGCAGTCCAGCAGGAACATTCTCAGGTTAGACCACCGAACCCATTCAGCTTTCAGAGGGGGTCTCAGAGTGGAGTGGGGGGACAAATGCATCATTTGAGGCCAGATGAGTCAACCAGATTCCACATTTCACAGACACGGGACTAATTTATATCCCAATCATGGGAGGCAGAGCTCCACATTCTATTTGCACAGAAATTTGCGGGCCAATTTATCAGAAATCTAGGATGTAAATATAGATGTCAATGAGCTTACTCAGTTCACAGGGCCCTGGAAGTGACTGCACCTGTGAACAGGGACATCCCCTAATTGGATCCAGAAGGAATAGGATGCTCTGAGCAGTTACCCTGTGCCCCCCGCCCCTCCTCTCACTGGATCCTGGTCTTTGCTCCCTAAGCCCAATTTTCCTAGCTGCCTAAGAAAGCTTTTTGAAAAACTATTGCCCCCAGTACGGGCCAGCCCCATGGCGTAGTGGTTAAGTTCACGTGCTCTGCTTCGGCGGCCCGGGGTTCACAGGTTCAGATCCTGGGTGTGGACTGACGCACCGCTTGTCAAGCCATGCTGTGGTGGCGTCCCACATAAAGTAGAGGAAGATGGGCACGGATGTTAGCCCAGGGCTAGTATTCCTCACACACACACACAAAAAAAACTATTGCGCTCCAACATTTTATTCTGAAAAGCTTTCACATGTATAGAAAAGTTGCAAAAATGGTTCAGTGAACTTCTGTGCGCCCTTCCCCTGGAGGCCCAAATGTTTAACATTTTACCACATTTGCTACGTACAGTCTCTGTGTGTGTGTGTATACACGCTTATCATCACCGTCATTACTATTATTGTTATTGTTTATACTGAGCCGTTTGAGAGTCGGCTGCCAGATATCTCTCCTCTTTACCCTTACGTGTTGTCATAGGCATCTCAGAGAACAAGGACATTCTCTTAGGTAACCGCGAGCAGTGATCAACTTCTGGAGATTCAGATTAATATATTGTTATTGTCCAAATACAATCCGTTTTCAGATTTTGCCAATCATTCCAAGAATGTCCTTTATAGCCATTTTTTCCAACCCAGAAGCACACACTGTATTCAGTTCTCATGCCTCTCCTACACTATCTTTTGTTTGTTTGTTTTTTTTTGTGAAGAGATCAGCCCTGTGCTAACATCTGCCAATCCTCCTCTTTTTTTTTTTGCTGAGGAAGACTGGCCCTGGGCTAACATCCGTGCCCATCTTCCTCCACTTTATATGGGACGCCGCCACAGCATGGCTTGCCAAGCAGTGTGTTGGTGCGCACCCGGGATCCGAACCGGCGAACCCCGGGCCGCCGCAGCAGAGCGCGCGCACTTAACCGCTTGCGCCACCGGGCTGGCCCCTCCTACACTATCTTTTGATATGTGCTTTCGTCCTTTTGTCTTGCAACCCACCCCATCAACCTTTATTTCCAGATCTATGAAACCATCCCTCTTACAACAGCTGTTGGAGGCAATCCCGGCCCAGGAACCGCTACATAAGGGGGTTCAGGCGCTGGAGGGCGCATGCACACACACATATGCACACACACACGCGCACATGCATGCACACACACACACCACAACATTCCGCCCAGTGGAAGGGGCAGTACTGGCAACGAATCTGCCTTCAAGGGGACACTGTCCTCAGCAACTGTGAGGTCCACTTACATCTGGGGGCCACCAAGGTCCACCTTCAACTTTCAAGCTGAGCACCCCTCCCCCGCCCCCAGGTGAGCTGGCCCGTCTTGTCTGTGCTCGCCAGCAAAAAGACAGCATCTGCGTAGAGCCGTGTGTTCATTTCCTCTTACTGCTGTAAAAAGAAAAAAAAAGCCACAAACTTCATGGCATAAAATAACACGAATTTATTATCTTACAGTTCTGGAGGTAAGCCGTCCAAAATCAGTCTCATTTTGCTGAAATCAAGCTGTCCACAGGCTCTAGGGGAGAATCTGTTTCCCTGTCTTCTCCAGCTTCCCGAGGCCGCCCACAGTTCTTGGCTCGCGGCCCCTTCCTCCATCCTCCAAGCCCGCAGTGCTGTGTCTTCTCTCCGTCTGCCCCCTGCTTCCCTCTCCATAACGGTGACACTCCTGCCTCTCTCTTATGAGCAGCCTTGTGCTGACACTGGGCCCACCTGGATCATCCAGGATCCTCTCCCCATCTCAAGAGCCTTAATTTAAGCACATCTGCAAAGTTCCATTTTCCATATAAGGTAACCTATTCACAGGTGCTGGGGGTTAGGATGTGGACATCTGTGGTGGGGGTGTCACGATTCTGCCTACAACAACCAAGAAGCAGACTTCCTCTGCAGACTGAGACCTTCAGGGAGACCAACCATTAGCAGGCAGAACAGGGAGCGGGGTGTCATGACCTCATGGTACATGGAGCGGACCCCACCATCTGAACTTTTCTACTGAAGAGGAGACAACTGTGCTTCTGTGCGGGTTCGGACCCCATTTAGAAATCTGAATGTGGTTTGTTTCCAGAAGTAACCGCAGGTGCAAGAGAGTGAACAGGTCCCACCCTCCATGGTCCCGTTTGATTAGAGAGCAGAGAATTGGCCCTTCAGACTGAACACACAGCCCCTCTGGACCCAGCATAGCCCCTCTTCAGCACACTTAGAGAGAGCAGCATCCTTGGGGTAGTGAGTTAAATAGTGTCCCCCAAAATTAATGTCAACTTGGATCCCCAGAATGTCACCTTCTTTGGAAATAGGATCTTTCTGGTGTCATTAGCTAAGATGAGGTCATCCTGGATTAGTGTGGGCCCTGAATCCAAAGACTGGTATCGTTATAAGAAGAGACACTGTGACACGGAGAGGAGATGGCCATGTGACAGCAGAGGCAGTGATTGGAGTGATGCTGCTACTTTGGCGGGAGCCACCAGACACTGGAAGAGGCCAGGAAGGCTCCTCCCCTAGAGCCTTCAGAGAGAGCATGGCCCTGCCAGCTCCTTGACTTCAGACTTTCAGTCTTCAGAACCGTGAGAGAACGAATTTCTGTTGTTTTAAGCCCCCCAGTTGTAATTTGTTATGGCAGCCCTGGGAAACCAATCCACCTGGGCCCCGTGTGTTGAACAGAGGCTGATAGAACCTTGAAAAAGGGATTATTGTGATCATCAGAAATCCACAAGGCTACAGTAGAAGGGAAAATAAGGAAGGAGCAGATGAGTAAAAGAAGCTAAAAGGTGCTGGACATGAGCAGATGATGCCAAAACTGGCAGTGGAAACCAGAGAGCAATTCAGTGTCAGGCATTACCAACCCATCGGGAGAAGAATCTAGGTCTCTCCTAGGACGTAAGGAGGAGCAACTAGGAGAGGTTTTGTTTCTGGCAGGTCTTGGGTATTCACCCTAAACTCTCAGGTATGTTCTTGGGATGTGTCAATGCAAGAACTAAAGATGACAAAGGTACCAGCAGGAGGGTTGGAGAGTGGGAGGGAGAGGCAGGGCAGGGGCCCCAGAACAGGCGGGGTCGCTCACAGCGGGCTCTTGCATCTTCCCCAGCCAGCCCCGCTCTTCACGACCCCAGGCCATCTTCTAGACAGGTTCATCATGGACTTTCTCCAGCCCAGCAAAATCTTCCTAGATCAAATCAAGAAAGCTGTTGACATCATCTGTACATTCCTTAAAGAAAAATGCTTTCAACATTCAACGACAAAGGTTCTGAAGGTTGTCAAGGTGAGTACAGGTCCTTCTCTTAAGGGAATTACGGGCAGGGAAGGTGAGTACAGGCCCTTCTCTTAAGGGAATTACGGGCAGGGAACTAAGTGGTGACTGTACCTCTAGAAGACTCGTCTTCCATCAGAAGGTAGAGGGCAAAGGGATGAGGGAGGGAAGCTGGGGAGATGGGCAACTAGGACCTGATGTTCAGTGGTGGGTGATAAAGCACTGCTTATGTCACTACAACATGCTTCTGATTCTGTATGAGCTTCCTAGGGCTGCTGGCAATCCTTGGTGTTCCTTGGCTTGTAGCTGCGTCACTTGGACCTCTGCCTCCATCTCCAAGTCACCTTCTTCTCTGTGTATCTTCTCCTTTCTCTCCTCTTCTAAGGACACTTGTCATTGGACTTAGGGCCCACAGATCCCTAACTTAATTACATCTACAAAGACCCTTTCTCCAAATAACGTCACCTTCACACATTCCAAGCAGACATAACTTTTGGGGGACCACCATTCAAACCACTGCAGATTCTGAGCTCAGTGTGACCTGAACCAAAAAGTGACCTCTTTCCTGTTTCAATGACTAGAGCCCGATTCATCCCATCAACTGAGATAGAGATTCAGTAGATTGGACCATTCATGTCCATGGCTCAAAGGCCACAGGCTGACACGTTTCCCTCCATCTGTTGAAGACGAAACTCTCTGCTCTGGACTCAGCCCTAACTGGACCCTAACTTGGAACCTACCCTTGGCAACCTCATTAATTAGCCCAACTGGTAGAGCCCACAGGGCTGAGAGGCTCACGGTCTAGAAACCGCTGTATCTCAACTTGCCTTTCTTCACCAGGGAGGGTCGACCGCCAAAGGCACAGCTCTGAAGAGCGGCTCTGATGCCGACATCATCGTGTTCCTTAACTCGTTTAAAAACTACGCCTCCCAAAAAACCGAGAGATGCAACATCATCAAGGAAATCCGCAAACAGCTGGAAGCCTGTCAGCAGGAGAAGGAGTTTGAAGTGAAATTTGAGATTTCAAAATGGAAGGCTCCCAGGGTGCTGAGCTTCTCTCTGAAATCCAAAGTCCTCAATGAAAGTGTTGACTTCGATGTGCTGCCTGCCTTTGATGCGCTAGGTAAGACTCCCCAGACCTCAGCCTCTGGAGGAGGAAGGCGGCTTCTGGAGGGATGGGGGAAGGGGGTGGAGGGAAAGCCATGTGACTTAGTAACAGGTCATGGGTCCAGCCCCCCCTGCAGGGGGCGTGAATAATGGCAGCGATACCTTACACCTGTATCCCAACGACGGCCAAGACCCACATCTTCCACACCCGTGTTATCGTTCACAGTATCTGTCCAAGAATCGGGTACCCAGGAGTTCTGTACGCATTTATAGATAAAATGCCTCAACTATTAGTGGAAGAAATTAAAGAACAGACTGTGGGAGGAATTCTGAGGAAAATACAGGAAATCAGAGTGTTCACCTTCAATCTTAGGCAAAAATCTCCTTTAGAAATTCAATTCATGGGTGACAGATTCGTAAGGTATATTAAAAGAAACCAAGACTATTTCAGACATTTTCCAAATCCAAATCAGGAAGATATGGTACCGTCCCTCTGAATGGTTCTTAGTGTCTCTCAGAGAGGAAATAACAGTATTGATTGTGGGTCGGCTATCTTTTTTTGTAAAAGGTAGGATAGCAAATATTTTCAGCTTTGAGGGCAATAAGGTATTTGTTACAACTACTCGACACTGCCATTGCAGCCTGAAAGCAGCCATGGATAATACATTAACAAATGGGCACGGCTGTGTTCCGATAAAACTTTATTTACAAAAACAAGCAATGGGCCAGATTTAGTCTGGGGGCCATACTTTGCAAACTCCAGATCAGCACTGTCCAAAGGTCTTTCTGTGATAACGGAAATGTCCTATAATCTGTGTTCTATATCCATGGAGTACTTGAAACGTGGCTAGTGCTACTAAGGAACTAAATTTTTTATTTTCCTTTAATTGATTTGAATGCAAACAGCCACATTGGCTGGTGGTTACCATATTGGACAGTACAGGTCTAGATAATACTGTAATAGTACCACCTGGACTCATATCGATCATATTATCTCATTACTTTGGAGATGCTCTCAATATCTTAGATGTCAGTAATTCAAACACACTAACAGAGTTCAAAATAATTTCCCAGAATTTAATTATATTTGTCAACAATGTTTTGAAATCTGTTACTTTCTATATATATTAAGGCGTAATGTAAATATCTCCCCCATACTAGGTCAACTGAATTCTGGCTCTGCGCCCAGCCCCAGGGTCTACGCTGAGCTCATCCACCTGTATAAATCCTCAGACGCCGTAGGGGGAGAATTTTCTACCTGTTTCACGGAGCTGCAGCGTAACTTCGTGGAATCCCGGCCCACCAAAGTGAAGAGTTTAATTCGCCTGGTGAAGCACTGGTACAAACAGGTATGAGAGCTCTTGTTCCAGACGTCTGGGTCTTTTTTTGGTTTTTATCAGGACTCTGTGACCATGAAACCAGCACTTCTGGATTGCTCCACGTGCACGCAGTCTCCCATGTTGGGGGCTGAGCCACTTTAGGGAATCTGCCCAATCTTTATTCCCAAGTATCTTGGTGGAATTCCCATCACCCACCCCATTAAGGTGAGTCGAGTGTAGAGCCCCTCCTACCGTCAGAGCTGCTACACGTGGTTGATTTTGCCTTTGCTCTGACCAAAGAATTCTGCAGGAATCCAAGTTATCCTGCCTAGGAAGGGCAGGTGAAGATGGGATTTGCATGCCTACAAGTCACCGGCCTGGTTTATCTGCTTCTCGGTGCCCCTAATTAGTAGACACAGATGCTATCTCTTGGAAGGCAAGTTGAAGCCACACGCGGGACCAGAGGCTGCATTTTCTATATTGGTTAGCCTCCCTTCACTTCCATCAACGGTCTTACACACAGAATGTTCTCAGTATTTTCAAGACAGCAAACATCCAGCACAATCTCAGCTCATTCTTGAGATGTCTCCTTTCTGTGTCCAGCTCCCTGAAGCCTGAGATGGAGACTGAGCTCTCTGGTTTCCATCCCAGAAAATCAGAGAAATGGCTCTACACCCCAGGGTGCTCAGAGCGTTCAGGGCTATGGCGTGACCTTGAGCATGTCACTTCACCTCCCCAAGCCTCAGGTCTTCATCTAAAAAGGCAATCTCTGCCTGCTTGGTAACTGTTGGAGGATTAGGAAGGACATAGGTAAACTGTCTGGCCCCATAATTAGCACGCAGGGGGGTTTAGTAAATGGCAGCTATGTTATAACCTGGGGAAGTCATATATGGCCAAAGGAACCTGCATGGGCAGCCTACGAGCTGCCAAGTGAGCACCCACAAACCGGCCTGCTCAGACCTCCCTCGGACCAGTCCCGCCAGCGCTGCATCTCGTGACTCAGTTTCCCAGCTGTGACCCCACCAGTCTTTGATGTGCAGTCTCCGCGGTTCTTGCTGACCTCATTGTACCTCCCTGCCTTAACCAGTATCATCTGGTGTTCCCGTTCTTTCCTCAGTGTGAAAGGAAACTGAAGCAAAAGGGATCTCTGCCCCCGAAGTACGCCTTGGAGCTCCTCACCATCTACGCCTGGGAGCAGGGCAGCAAGGTGCCGAATTTTGACACGGCCGAGGGTTTCCGGACGGTCCTGGAGTTGGTCACAAAGTATCAGCAGCTCTGCATCTTGTGGACGGTCAATTACAACTTTGAGGATGAGACCACGAGGAACTTCCTCCTGACCCAGATGCAGAAAACCAGGTGCCCCAAACCGACCCACCTCCTTTTCGTAACCTGATTCCCTCCAACAGAATGTCAGCGACCTGGATTCTCCTCCCGTGGGGTCAGGACTCATTATTCCTCACGTGACCCCGAGGGAGGACCGTGCTCACCACCAGAGCCTCCCAGAGTCTCCAGGGATAGAGTCCTAGGGAGGGGAGAAAATGACATCCAGGAGGAACAGGGAAGGAAGGACCAAGGGGCTGGGTCACTGAGTTGCTTTCGTCTTTCTAGGTTGGAAGGAAAAGCATGGATTCATTAGCAGGTCTAAGAGCTGTGGGAGTTGGACGTGCGTTCCTGAGAAATAACGCTGTCATTCACAACCAATTTAACCCACAGGGTTTTTATTAGATCAGCTTTTATCTACCCTTTCAGACCTGCATCCCACAAAACCTTCATCCTTCAAGTATAGGAAGGAAGGGACCGGCCCGGTGGCATAGCGGTTAAGTTCTCGCACTCCGCCTCCGTGGCCTGGCGTTCGCAGGTTCAGATCCCAGACGTGGACCTACCCACAGCTAATCAAGCCATGCTGTGGTGGCGTCCCATATAAGGCAGAGGAAGATGGGCACGGATGTTAGCCCAGGGCCAGTCTTCCTCAGCAAAAAGAAGAGGATTGGCATCGGATGTTAGCTCAGGCCTAATCTTCCTCACACAAAAAAAAATAAGAATAGGAAGGAATCTTAGTGTGTCTGCTCCATGCCACCAGCAGGGGACAAAAACAATGGAAGCAGAAGAAAAGACAGGAGCATTGAGAAAGAATAGAGAAGAGGAAAGAGACAATAGACGCTGTGGGTTGCCTACCGTGGGTGTGGCTTGCTTAAAGTTATAGTTGATTAAATTATACATCCTATTTCAGTTGGCCTAGTGGAGGAGATGTTTATATTACACCTCCATGTGTATAATAATTAACAGCTCTCAAAACTTTTTTGACAAATATAATTTAATTCTAGGAAATTACTTTGACCTGTATTCATACATTTGAATTACTGACAACTCAGATATGAGGGCACATTGTTTTACTGCTGAGAATAGAATGGCCCCCCAATTCTGAGGCCACTGGTTCTAAAAAGCACCCCTCTAACACCTTCTAATCCCTCATGTAGGCCCGTAATCTTGGACCCAGCTGAACCCACCGGCGACGTGGGTGGAGGGGACCGGTGGTGTTGGCACCTTCTAGCAAAAGAAGCTACCGAATGGTTGTCCGCTCTCTGCTTCAAAGACGGGAATGGACATCCTGTACAATCATGGAAAGTGCCAGTAAGAATAATCTAAAAGAAGTGTCGTCTGGAGATTGCCCTGTGACAGGCTTAAATCAAAGAGCTTCTCCTGCTGTAGCTTGAACTTGGGATTTGTTCAGCCACAAATAATGAAAAACCCAAGTCACAAGCTTGCACAATTGGTTTTTTCTGCTCATTACAAGAAATTCTAAGGCGGGCAATCCAGCACTCGCACAACAGCTCCATCCAGCTTTCTCCATCCACCACAGCACTACCGGCATTTGGGGCTGGAGAGTTCTTTGGGGGGGGGGCTGTCCTGGGCAGGGTAGGATGCTGAGCAGCATCCCTGGCATCTAGCATCCCCACTAGATGCCAGTAGCACCCCTGACCCATGTGACAACCAAAACACTATGTCCGGATACTGCAAACTGTCCCCTGGGGACACACTCATCCCCAGCTCTTTCTGGTTCCACTCTCTTTAGGTATCAATTTTAGTCCTCATGGCAATGAAAGTGGCTACTGCACCTCCAGGTGGTGGTTCTGGGTCCAGGCAGGAAGAACAAGAAGGGGGAGGATACCTATTAGAAGCCTCATGCAGCAAATTCTCTTACATGTCATTGCCCAGAACAGTCACATGGCTACCCATAACTTGAAAGTGGCTCCAAAAAGGGGAGTGAAGACACCTGTGGATGGGGGTTGATCAGCCAACCAAGTGTCTGCCACACCTGTCCAAAGCTCCACCTCCCACCAAGATACCTGCGACCAGGTATACGTGGTTCTCCCGCCAGGTTCTTTCTCAAGGTTCTTTCAAAGTAGGTTTTCTCAGCCTCAGCAACTATTGACATTTTGGGCCACATAATTCTTTGTTTGGGGGGCTGTCCTGTGCATTGCAGGATATCAAGCAGCATCCCCAGTCCCTACCCACTAGATGCCACCCAGTTTGACAATTAAAGATGTCTCAAGACATTGCCTCTTGTCTTATGGGGAGCAAAATCGCCCCCCGGTGAGCACTCCTGCATTAGAGGGACACCCCGCTCCAACTCCGGGGTCAGCTTTAGTTACCAAGATGTTCACTGTCAACAAGCACCCAAAAATTGTCCCTGGTAATAGTTACCCTCTCAGATACACTTCCTTCCCTTTTTTTTTCTGACTCTTTTAACCAATGGTTTTCACTGCTTAGGATACGTATTATTCTTGCACATGTATTTTTCTTTCTAGACAGCTCAGACACCAGGAAGTTGTGCAGCTGGGATGCATCCTATTACCAATGAGATGTTCTCACTCAGAAGTCGTAGAATCCTGGCATAATAATGCTAGGAGAAATTTCTAGAGGTCACCTGGCAATTGCTTTTAAAGAATCAGTTCACTGTGTAAAATAGTAACCAGATCCATTCTTCCATTGACGGTCTGCACAACCCCTTCCCATGTTTCTTCAACTCCTCTTAAAATCAAGACCACCGAGTTCTTTTAAAGTCTAGCCTTACTGAAGTCGCACTCCACGAGGGACCTGACTTAATTGAAAATATTTGCTTTCCGGGCTGGCCTGGTGGCATAGTGGTTGGGTTTGCACGCTCAGCTTCTGCCGCCCGGGGATCACGGGTTTGGATCCCGGGCACAGACCAGCGCACCGCTTGTCAAGCCATGCTGTGGTGACGTCCCATATAAAGTGGAGGAAGATGGGCATGGGTGTTAGCCCAGGGCTGATCTTCCTCAGCAAAAAGAGGAGGATTGGCAAAGGATGTTAGCTCAGGGCTAATCTTCCTCACACACACACAAAAAATTTTTGCGTCATCTAGCTTTATGGGCACCTTATTTCTGTCAACCATTCTGTATTTAGCTCCTTCCTTTTCCTTCAAGTCTTAGAAGCGCAATCTCTCTATTCCCAAAGTGAAGCCCCTTACCTGCCCCTTGGTTCCCATAATTCCACGATCTTGCTCTCAAACTCCTCCACCTCGCCCACCTCCCATCTCTTTCCCTCTGTACACAAAACCCTGTCTGTCCTTGCCCAACTGAAGGTCTCCTAAGCCAGAAGTGAGCCAACCTCTTCTTAGACCTGCAAATTCTCTAAAGGCTTGGATTATAACTGTTGCCATATGTGTATATACATATATATATCTCTCTATGTATCTATATAGATATTAGCCTGTTGTCTTTCCCTTCTGAGCCTACCTTTTTACCCCTATCCATGAGTATCTTCTTGCCAAATCTAAAGGCTTTATCCTCTGGCTTTAGCTTAAAATATACTTGAAGGTCTAAGTGTTTTATCCTCATATATCCACTTAACATTTTGTTACCGCCACATATACCAACTGTCATAAAATCAAGAATATATCTGGTCTTTGTCCCCAGTTCCTGGCACAAAGCTTCAAAAACCTTTGGAATTTCCTGATAGGAGGGTCCTTTGTATTCATAATGAGCCCCTTCCAACCGTCCCTGAGTTTATGCCAGTGAGGTGTGGGCCCTTAAATAGTGTCAAGGGAGGGGTTGGCCATGCCAGAAATGCCAAGCATGTGATGAGAGGGTTGCAAATTTCAGCCCCACTCCCCAACCTCGCAAGAGGAGAGGGAGCTGGAGAGGGAGTTCAAGGCCACGGCCAATGATTTAATCAATCGTGCCTTTGTAATGAAACCCCAATAAAAACCCTGGAAAACAAGGCTTGAGGGGCTTCCTGGTTGGCAAACATATCAATGTATGGCGAAGATGGCACTTCCTGACTCCGAGGGGATGGAAGCCCCTGCACTCAGAACGCTTCCAGACCTCGCCCCCTATGTTTCTCTTCATCTGGCTATTTATCTATAGCTTTTATAATAAAACGGTGATTGTAAGTATAGTGCTTTCCTGGGTTCTGTGAGTTACTCTAGTGAATTATTAAACTTGAATTTGTAGCCAAGTTAAACAGAAGTACGAGTAGTCTGTGGACCCCCCTGTGACTGGCATCTGAAGTGGAGGCAGTCTTGTTGGGACCTTGCCCTTTAACTTGAGGGGTTTGCAGTAACTCCCCGTGGTGTCAGAATTGAACTGAATCGTTGGACACCCCGTTGGTGTCAATGAGTTGGTGTTGGAATGTATCCCTACGCTTATCCAGAACAACAACAAAGGAAATAGCTACGACTTGGGGTTGAAGAATGAAAGAATGACTCTATGTTCATGTTGACTCAGTCTACATAATTACCAGACCCTTCTAGATGCCCAACTTGCACTAGATATGTAGATAGGAAACTATAAGCCACTGGCCCATCCTCACAGGGCTTATGACGTACCTAGAGGAATCCTAAATCCCTTAAAGAAAAATGAAGGGCATTTACAACCATGTGCTAAGTGATATGTATGTAGCGGACTAAGACCAGTAAGAATGAAGTGAGCAACTCAAAGACAGGAAGGGACTATTTCAGTCCCTTTCATTGATGTCTTCTCAGTATTCAGTAGACATTTAAGTTCATTAAGAGCAAAGATAAGAGAAAGCTCACAGTGATCAGGAAACGTGTGGTCATTGGTCATCACTGGAGGGAACTAGGGCACCAACCTCTTTTTCAGAAAATTCGCAAATAACAGCAATGAATTGGAAAAAATTAAACCCACCCTCTCTTGTGCAAACTATATTAACGAACGGCCATAGCTGATAAGGAAAAAAACTTTTTTGACAGAAGAATTCTACTTAATAGATGTTGAAAGGATGACAAAATAGAAACATCACCCTTTGCCAACCTCTGATGAAATAATGATTTAGGCAGAGATAATCAACGGGTGAAACCGTTAGATGAAACGCGGATGGGGAACTCTATAAAAGAAGGGGGACAGACTGTCACCTCCCAGATCCGCGGTTTAATCATAGCCTCAGTAGGAGAGGGATGGCCAGACATGGCATGCCTGCTGGTGTGGGGCGGTCTGGAGCACACAGCGCCGTCCACTAAGTAATTTTGCCAAATAAAAAAAAAAAATGGCTATAAGTAACAAAAGGAATTGAGTAAATTCCAGAGAAAATGTGTAGGCCAGAGAGACTTCATAGGAAGAGAACAACAAAGTCAGGAGACACAAGGACAAAAATGTGGAAGGGTGGGCATTCTTACAACCCCAAAAAGGAAATGAGCCAATTCAGTGGAGTTAGCGGTCAAGATGCGAGGTCCATAGTCCACCCCGGTTACCCTGGCAACAAGGTCCCCACATCCATCAAAGGAATTAAACAATGATTAGAAGCAGGGCTACACTTGGCAAGTGACCAATCACTTGGGGGAGTTCGGGAAGAATTTGAGTGGCAGACCGCGAATGAAGCCACCAGTGGGGAGTATTTGTGGGTGAAAGGATTATCTGGAGCCTGCGTGCTGGAGGGCTTCAGCTGCTCTGACCTGAGGCTTCTCCAGCTGAGTCTGGTCAAATCTGAGCAGGTAAAATGTTATCACTCATTGGTTCTATTTCTTGGCATCAGCGTCTGGGATGACCCTCCAACAAGGAAAAGGTGAAAAGCTCTCCCTGTGGGAGCTGGCCTGGATCCACCTGGAGTGGGGTGTAGACCTGTGTGAGCCAGCCTGGGTCCACCAGAGTGGGCTATAGACCTAGAGAGAAGAAGTTGGCACAGGAAGTAGGATGTGAGGATCCCAGTAACCCAACCCAACTGAGAGGTTCCGTCCAAGCACCAACGGTGCCTCACATGCTCACCTTGGATGGGGTTCCTCAAAGAGGTGCCAAATCCAAGCCACGCTCCCTTTATTGTAGGGCCAGGCTGTGAACTGGAAAGGAGAACGTCTCGTGTTCTGAGGAACCAGGCTCCAGTGGACAGAGCAGGAAGTTATCACCAGGAGAAGCAGAAAGGCTCCGTTGTTGGGGGCTGGGAGGTCAGGAAAAGGGATGGTTCCCAAGGCTTGGCCACGGTGTGGCCAGAACAATGGGAGAATGAGATAGCCAGCAGGTGACCACCGTGAGCTCTGACAACAGGAGAGAAAATGCCAGTAAACCCACAGGAGGCCTGGGAGACAAGAAGGGGTGTGGCAGGCAGAATGTAGCCCCCAAAGATGTCCACGCCCTGATCCCCAGAACCTGTGGATATGTTACCTTACGTGGTAGAAGGGACTTTGTAGATGGGATTAAGTTAAGGATCTTGAGATGTGCCGGACAGCTCATCTCCTGGGTGTCTCGGGGGGGTCCAGGAGCCCTTAAAGCAGAGAGCCTTTCCCACCTCACGTTGGAGAGATTCAGCTGAGGAAGAGGCAGCAGAGGGACCCGAGCTGCTGCTGCTGGCTTGAAGATGCAGCGGGCCATGAGTCAGGGAGTGTGGGCGTCCTGGAGGAGCTGGAATGACCCCCAGCTGACAGCCGGCAAGGAACCAGGGACCTCAGTCCTACAGTCGCGTGGAACTGAACTCTGCCAACAATCTGAGTGAGGCTGAAAGCGATTGTCCCCCAGAGCCTCCAGTTAGGAATGCAGCGGGGCCAACACCTTGGTTTCAGCCTCATGACACCCAGAGCAGAGAAACCAGCCAGGCCCACTGGGCCTCTGACCTTCAGAACCGTGAGATGATCAACTTGCACTGTGTTAAGCCACTAAATCTGCGGTGATTTGTTACAGCAGTGTACGGCTCACAGGGGCAGGTGGCGATGAGCAGCTTGGGGACAGGGCCCATGGGGGAGTCAGCCTCCCCCACTCCAGGACCACAGTCGCTCCGTGCCCGCCCAGCCTGTGCCCAGGGAAGGCAACTCACATGTGAAAGGGGAAAGTCTGTTTTTCTCCTCTGACCTCAATGCTTCTGACACCAGATGTGGGGGGTGGTTCCCCACACTGCCCGATTCTCCGACCCCAGCTGGTTGTCCTACAGTTCAATGCAATTCTGATGCTATCTACCTGGAGTGAGTGTCAGACCCCGCAGGTGAGGGGCTCAGATCCACAAGACCACCCCCACCTCCACTTCAGATGGCCAGTCGCAAATCCAGGCCTCCGGTCCTTCTAACCAACCAGTTACAAGTCGGGGGCTTCCCATGACCCCCTCCTTAGGTTAAGCAATTTGCTAGAGTGGCTCACAGAACTTAGGGAAACAGTTTACTTCCTAGACTATCAGTTTCTCATAAAAGGCTGTAACTCCAGAACAGCGGTGAGGGCTCTCTTCCGGGCTCGCAGGTAGCTGCCTTCTCCCTGTGTCTTCACATGAACGAGAGAGAGAGAGAGAGAGAGAGAGAGAGAGAGAGAGAGAGCTCTTTGCTGTCCCTAAGTTCCCCACGCTTCCTCTATTCCCGCTGTTAAAGGGAAATACTGGTTTCCTAACAATTTCATGTATATCTTTCATGTATACAATTTCATGTATATCTTTCATGTAATCTTACTCTGAGCAGGTCAGCCCACCCGCATGGGGTGGTTTCGCGCCCGCAGTCAGTCCCCCGGGCCCGCCGAGTGTGCGGCTCCAG